GTTGTAGTTCAGCCTCTGACCACTAGTTGGCAGCAGTGAGCCAGCCATTTGGCTCCTCTACCTCTTGAGTGCCAGAGAGTAAGTGTAGCATTAGCGTTGTAGGAGACAATGTAAGCATTTTAAGTAAACATTAGCTTTTCTTTTTTTTTTTTTCAGTAAGAGGTTTTTATTTAATAGAATTTTTGGACAAAAAATCGCAATATATCGCAATATATTGCCATCGTGTCGTGACCCCTCTGTTGTGATATATATCGTATCACCAAATTCTTGCCAATACACAGCCCTAGTATTAATCATGTGAGGTAACATCAGGATCTGCTACCACACAGAGACTTCTCCCAGACCCATGAGAAAAAGTGATAAGTTAATGAATTATTGTGAACACAGGGGATGGCAGCCAAAGAGCAAAAGCCACGGATTGGAGTCACTTCTGCACCCCATCAGCAGTCAAAGAATCCCCCCAAAGATTGATTCATTGTTAACACAGCCTGACACCCTGTGTGAGGGAGAAAGAAAGTAGTAGATAAAGGAACAAAGAATAGGGGGGACAAGGGGCTCCATTTGCCCAACGTGTGAGCAGAAGCAGTTCACTGGACAGGTTCCCACAGTGGATATTCTTCCATTTACGAAATCACCACATACCTTCGCTCGAGTAAAGGCAATTTATCAAACTCAGAATTAAAGACACTTAAGCTCATCTGGTGGCGGAAAAACTGCCACCGACACAATTTTCTCCTGTCCGTGCCAAAATGATCATTTAAGGCCGCGCTGCCTTTTAATACGCAACCAAAATGCGCTGCGACAAGACACAAAAAAAAGGTCAAGATAATTTAAAGGTTTTTATAAACACAAACAGCCACTGAGATGTAAGAGCTTGCAAGTATTGGCAGGGATGGCCCCAGGCAGGGAGGCCATCAACACACCTAGACCTCAACCATTTCAGTGGGATGACTAACCTGAAACCTCATTGTTTGCCAACCTAAGAGTCTGCTCTCCAAGAATGTCATCTTAMGAACTCGATGCAAGAAACTGCGTGCGTGGAAACCAGCTTGTCGCGCAGARCAAAACATACATAACACACTGCAAACACTCTTACTTCCTTGAAATACATTGAAAACATGTGAACCTAAAAATATTGTCCCACACGGGCACATACTTTATCAACATTCAATCGTGTCACAGGTCATCATGAACCTGATATATTACAGATGTGGTGGATTCCCCAGAAGTTTGGTTGTCTGCAGTGAGGAGGAGAAATGAAGTAAAAACAAAGAGGGAAATCACAACTTTCATTTGGCTCTTGCCAATAATTCAACATTTATTATTATTATTATTATTATTATTATTATTATTATTATTGGTACATGTGTGCCAGTAACAACTAAATTATGGCAGATATTATAAATTAGTATGCTGATGGTGGAGCCTACAGAACGAGAACAACCAACATAATCATTTTTATCCTCACAGTAGCTGCGGAGGTGAAAACAGACGATTTCTACAGCTGCTGTTGGTATATACTGGTTTGTCTATTATTA